GCAACCCTCGGTGTTGCTCCCGCACCTCGCTCAGCCAGTGAGCTGGAACCGGTCTGTATGTGGGATCCGAACCCTCGGGCGGGAGCGCCGCCACGCTTCCCAAGCGGTGCACTATCCAGTGCGCCACTGGGCCGGCCCGGAATATGAATTTTTTAATCCAGAAATTTCTAAGGGACAGACAATGTGTCTAAAAGATTGTAATAACAAAGAAACAACTACCTCCAGTAATATAATCTTCTATAAATTGAGGAACAATCTATACAAAAAAAAAAAAAAAAAAAGGAATTTAGGGCCTACTGAAATACAATTATAAGAAACAAGAGAAAGGCATTGTGAATTCTTTCAAAAATAATAGCTTTTTAAAAGCCACAGCAAATAGACGAAGCTTTCATTTCCAAAGGCAGCCCTAATCTACCTCAACCCCAGAGCATTTTCTCTAAATAATTCTAAAAAGAAAATATTTGGTAAAAGCTAAATGAAGTAACGATTCTGAGAGAAATATCTTTTCTTTTATAATAAATTATTAATTCACTTCCCCATTGCCCTTGATTTCATTTCTTAAAAAAAAAAAAATATTTTTTTGATTTTATTTTTCCTTTATATTTTTGTTGTTGTTGTTGTTGTTCTTACCATCTTTCATTTATATACCTGAAGGTGACAGGTATATAAAATGATATTGGAGAAAAACTGCAAGACTTAGGTGTTTCCAGGATGTTAAATTTTACAGTGTAAAGATTGATAGATTGTAGGTAACTTGTTTTTATACATCTATTGGCAAGTTGTTCTTATGTGTGTACATAAAGTTATTTTGTCATGCAAGATTTTAGACAAGGAACAATTTTTTTCCTAGTGAAGAAACATTTTTCTCTACATCTTAAAAACTCAATGTTTTTCTATTGAGACTTCCTTTTAAAATCTAAAACACCACGAATTATGAGATTATATTTAAAATGTTAAAATATAGGGCCGGCCCGGTGGCGCACTGCTATAGTGCGCCGCTTGGGAAGCGCGGCGTCGCTCCCGCTGAGGGTTCGGATCCCACATACAGACCGGTTCCCGCTCACTGGCTGAGCGAGGCGCGGGAGCAACTCTGAGGGCTGCGACCCCGTTGCCGGTCCCGGTCCGGTACGGGGGCGACACTGAGGGTTGCGATCCGTTGCCGGACACGGAAAAAGACAAAAACAAAAAAAAAAAAAAAAAGTAAAATGTTAAAATATAAAGAACTACAACACTGAAATAAATTTACCATAGTCATATACTCTAAAATTTAACTAAGAAATATAAAAAAGTTTTCTCTATATTCCAACCAAATCTGAACCCAGAGGCTGAGTGTGATCTGTACCCTGGTATACCTTAAAGTCCCTAACTTTCTAAAGAAAGAAAAGGAGAGAGGAAGAAAACAGAATCAGAACTAAAGCTGTCTCAGTGTGGTTTCGTGTATGTATGGTTTAAAACTGGCCAACATTTCTATCAAAGGAGAAGGGAAAGGGATAATATTTATTAAGTGTCTGACTCTGTGCCAGATGTGAGACTACAGCAATGAACATGATTGCACAGCCCTGTCTTCAAGGAGCTCAAGGCTAGTTCTCCTAAAAGAACAAGATGGTCAAAGAAGATAAATATTTTCAAGGATGTTTAAGCTTAATACATTTTACACCACTTATCTTTGAGAAAGATCTTCTAGCAATTTTCACTAAAAGAATGCCACACTACCTTTAACAAAACATCTCCCTCCTCCTCATTTTCATTGGCTATTTTCCAGGACAATAACTGGTTACTGTCTCACTTCTTTTCTTAGTAGTGAGACCAGAACTTTTAAAATATGCTTATGATCATTTGTATCTACTCTTTTTGGAAGTACAAATTTATTTCTTTTATCCATTTCTTTGCTGAAGTCTCAGTATTTTTCTTTATTGGTTAGTTGTTATGTTAAGGAGGCTGATCTTTTCATACGTTTCATGTAAACATTTCCCTAAGCTGGTGTTTGGTGTGTGTGTGTATATTTGTATGTGTTGTATATACATATAAACATACACATTTTTAAACAGAGGAATTTAAAATCCTATGCAGATAGTCTATCAATGTTTGGGGGAGGATTTTACACTGCTTTTAAGATTAGCAAGTCTTTTATTCATTCACATGAGAGAAATATTTACCAGCATAATTCCCTAGTTTTTTAAAAGAATTTTATTTTCATATTCAACTCCTTGGTAAATGAGCATTTGATTTTGGTGTGTGACATAAGAAGAAGATTAAAACTTTTTCACTTAACTCGTAGTTAGGTTTTCCCAACACCTATACACAGGAAGAATTCTTCCTTTCCCCACTGATTTATCTTTCTAGCTTTATAAACTTGTATGACACTATTTGCATTATTTCAGCTTTATAACATGTTTCAATTCTTGGTAAGAACTGGCTTCATTATCTAGCTTCACCTGGCCCTTGTGGAGAAGTCCAAAGATAGATTAGTTCCTATACATAGATAACCAGTTTTTCTACCAGGATAGCTGTAGAATTTTGCTTTTTTTAATCTTTGAAAATTTAACTATTTCACAAGGATATTTCTAAGATATTGGTGTCGTTTCATTAACTGGCCTGAAAAGAGACACTTCAGTTTATACATTTTGAACTTTAGCACAGGAAGGCTTTTTGTATTTGATCTTTAACTATTATCTCTTTTTACATGTTCTGGTCTCTTCTTTAACAATGATCAACCACATGTACAATCTATCTCTTATATTCATCTTTTTCTCTCATTATCAACAATAATAACTAACATTTATCAGTAGTACTATGTATCGGACACCCTGTTAAAAGATTTACATTTAGGATCTCATGAATCTTAAAAACCCTGTAAAAAATATTAGAATCCCATTTTATAGATGAGAAAAATTAGGCTTTATTTTATTTATCCAGAGTCACAAAGCTGGCACAGGTTGGGACCTACACCTATGCCTAAGCAGATGAATCCTACAGCTACACTTTTAACTACAGTTTTCACCTATCTCTTTTTTCTGTTCCCCCTTCCCTTTTTTTTTTTTTTTTGGCGCTGGCTGGTTATGGAATCCAAACCTGTGACCTTGGTGTCAGAAGGCTGTGCTCTACCCACCTGAGCTAAACTGGCCAGTCCTCTTTTTTCTGCATTCTTATGAGTGCTTGTGAAATTAGTTCTCTAGGCTACACTATTGATTCGATGTTTACGTCAATTTGCCTTTTACCATCTGCAGTGTGGCTTTAACTGAAACATGCCTTTTAAATTTTTTTAATCTTCACCATGTCTTTTTAAAAATCAAAATCTTAGTCTTTTTAACTCATTATTAACAAAAACCCTAATTTCTTCTATTTTATTGAGAACATACTCTAAAATATTCTATTTCTTACAGCTAATCATTTAAAAATATGCTTTGCCTTTACTTCTTTTAAATTCATATAATCTTTTTAATGCCCCTCCTGCCTTAAGTAAGATTTATCAGTCTCTTTGAGAATCAATAAATTTTACCTCTTTAAGCTTAGGGTGTCCAGTGGGTTGTATGTAGCCCCTAACCCTATTTCTGGGAGATTTAGGTATTCTATTATGTAGCTCTGTTTAATAGAGGCAGAATCTTCTGTTTCTGTCTAATTTTTGGCTTCAAGGAGAATTTACTCCTGACACACATGACATGGTTGGCTATTCTTTTTCATTAAACTCTCTATTAATTTGGGTAATACTATGTTCTCCTGCTTCTTCTATCTCTTTAATGATTGGTCTCTTTCACTAGTTCACATACAAAGTTCCATCACAGTGTTTAGCACTAAACACTCAACAATTATACATAAAAAATAAATTTAGATACTGCTGCTTTTTATCAATTTAGAAATGTTTTTTAAAAAATAGCAAGGGAGATTATGCATATACTGTTTCAACTTGTAAAACTCATAAAATTTTGTATCTGACTTTTGAACAGAAACAGTTTCCTTGTCTATAAAACAAAGGTAATAAACACTGCTATGCCTGTATTACAAGGCTGCTACATTAAAGGAGACAATTTGAGCGTTATGTAAATGGAATAAATTATTAAGAGACTCTGCCTTATGTTACAGTTGTTTGAATATTTGTCACCACCTACCAGACTTGATGCAAACTGAGGTCAAGGGTTAAACATTTTTTTTGTCATTTGGAGTATCTTAAATGTAGCTGGTAATTGATAAATATTTCAGGTAACTAAGTTTTCTTTGTTCAAACTGTTGGAACCCAACCTACAAGGCCAAGCTCCATCTGGTCACAATTTCCTACAAAATCAGTGCACAGGTGTGAGGGTTGGAGTAGTTTTTTGCCACAAACAGAGGCCATTAGCAGGTAATCAATACATAAATGCATGGTGGCAGGAAGAACAATGTCCATTAGAGAATAGGAAACCAAGGAATAGGGTCTAGAATTGGGAAAATAAGTCAACAACGGAAAATCTTTGGACAGAAAAAATTGAAGGAGCAGACTGATCTCCTGAAATGAAGACAGCAAAAGTATGGTCACAGACAAAATAAGAAACAGCTTTTGTAAAAAGGGAAGTTTAAAAATTACATTTTTCCTTATATCACCTGCCTATATTTGTTATTTAATGAAAATCATCTATGCAGACCAGAGGATCTAAAGAAGACAATATTAGAACTGCCCTCAAGGAGCTTACAGTTGAGATGAGGGCACAAAACCCATATTTACTAAGTTCTTACTAAGTTCTTACTAAGTGCTGGGGACTGTGAACTAGACAGGTTGTTCTCAAAGAGTGGTCCTCCAACTAGCAGCATCAGCATCCCCTGTGAGCTTTTCAGAAATGGAAACTTGTAGCACCACCCCAGACCTACCTAATCACAAACTCTGGGGGTGGAGCCTGGCAATCTGTGTTTTGATAAGCTTGCCAAGTGATTCTGATGCACACTGAAGACTGGGAACCACTAAAGGAAACATGAGGTTTTCGATAAGATTTCATGGGACTTTTAATGCCTAGACAGAAATTACTCGTTTGAATACTATCTGTTCTTCCAAGAACTGGTACTGTTGCATGGCCTTGAGAATTCATGGGATGAGGGTCTAAATCTACTAATGCCATCCTTCCCCTCAGGGATCCTAGTGGGCAGAGATGAGAAGGCCATAGTTAATCTTCCTTTCCTGGGAGATGGTGCGTCATACCCATGTGGAAAGTTGTAGGTGTGGTCTTCTGGTTCAGAGCCCTCCCTTATCACTAGATTGTGGGCTAGTCTTTACATAGCTATCAAGGCAGGACAGCATGATGGATTATCCTAAATTCAGTCTGTCTAATGCAATTAATGATTTTGAAACCAGTAAAAAAGGACCTGAAAGGAACTATAAAAGTATAAGAAAGCCTAGTTTTAAGTAATTAATTTACTTTATTAAGTCAGCATGGCACTGTAAAACAGGATAGAAATGGTTTAAAATTTCAACTGCATAAAATAATTAAACATACTGTGACAGTTTCAAGTCTCTGTTTCACCAGCTGCATCTTTGTTGAAGAATTTTCAGTGTGGACAAATTCATCAATCTGAAAAGAGCCTTGATGGGGCAGTTTAGGACAGGTACATAAGGCATCTTGACTTTGGTGTATTCCAGGTAATGGAAATGTTCCATTGTAGCGTTTGAACATTTCAGCCTCCTGCTGGGCTACTGAAAAAATTAATCCATAATTAGTTTAAAACATCATAGCAAAATTATAATCAAATAAGCTACGAAACTGCAGCTTTCACTAACTGATCAGAAATTGAATACATTTCAAATATTGGGTAATAATAAGACAACTTGACTGGCAAACATAAAATTATTAAATACTATAAAACCATAAGAAAGGAAATATAATTTCACAGATAATTTCATGTCAGGCAGTGTCGTAACTGAGCCTTGAAGGCCATGCAAATTGGGATGGGAGCCTAATTTTAAATCTTTAAATATATGTATAAGGGCATAAAGAATGATTTGTAACAATGAATATGCTAATATAAAAAAATAAATTGAAAAAAAAATTTTTTTTTCATCACATCACTCCTAAAAGGAATTTGATCTATCAATCGATGAATGGATAAATAAATGTGGCATATCCATACAATGGAATATTATTAGACAATAAAAAGAAATGAAGTACTGATAAAAAGAAAAACAAAAAAACCCAAAAGCATAATACAACAGAATTAAGAAAAATACTAAAACAAAAACAATTGTTTGCAAACCCCTAAAATAGGTTTTTATATTTATATACTGCTAATAATCTTTATATGTACGTATATGTTATGTAAGATATAACATACATGTAAATGTAAATACAATTTTACATTTTCGTAATTAAAATGCTAACATTTTTCATATTTCTACAATAATGTAATTATCATTTTAAAATGTTCCATCTAATGAAGCACCATAATTTTTTTATACATTCTCCTCTTATTGAATATTACATCCTGTCATAGATCATATATGAAGAAGTACTTTCATAGCTGACATTGTTTCTTAACATAATTCTTAGGATTTAATTCCCCAGAGTGGGACAGATGACTCAAAGCGTGAATGTTTTTGATGATGACGACAAAGAGAACGATACCATCTGTATTGCACTTCATGGTTTTTAGGATTCTTTCACATATATTATCTCATTTGATCATTTTAAAATAAATGAATTTGAAAAACTTTAAACATCTGTCTGTATAGACAAAAAAATATATAAATCCATCATTTAAAAAAGTACTTCCTAGGGCTGGCTGGTTAGCTCAGTTGGTTACAGCCCAGTGTTCTAATACCAAGATCAGGATTCGTATCCCTGTACTGGCCAGCTGCCAAAAGAAAAAAAAAATCTTTCCATCTTGAAATGGAAGATTTTTCTAAACATAACATGAAAGGAAGAAATCTAAAAACAGGGATTTGTAAAATGAAATCTACTAAAGATACATCACGGATATATGTATGTGTTTCTGGAAAGCAGATCAATAACAGATCACATTATCCATCAAAGGATTACATGAGTCAGAAAAAGTTAAAATTGTCAACATTCTTGTGGACAGATGGACAGATTTTGCTACATGAACACTTAAAGATTAAAATAAGAAAAACTACCACAATAAAAACTAAAAAGCAAATGATAGTTAACAGGGTTCTCCTACGTCTGGCCAAAATGGAGTAAAAGGAACCAGATTTACCTTTCTGCTTGAAACTACAAAAAAATGGACAACCTGTATAAAAGTAAAAAAAAATAAAACTTCTTTCTTTGCAGGTATAATGGTCTACACAGAGCTAAGACTGGGCTGAGAAAAATAAGGCTTGTAGGGAACAAAATTTAAGAAAGCAGTTGCTTCTGTGTGGAATTAAAAAAAAAAAGTCACTAGAACTAATAATTGACTTTAAGCAAGGTTGCAGGATATGAGACCAATATACAAAAATTAAAAATATATATACTACAAAAAATACTACATTGGGGAAAATCTGATGAAAGATGTGAAAGACCTGTACACTGAAGATGAAAAACATTGCTTAGAGAAACTGAAGAAGCACCTAAGGGATATATTGTGTTCATGGGTTAGAATACCCAATACTGGTAAAATGTCAATTCTCTCCAAATGATCTGTAGATTCAATGAAATCCCACTCAAATTCCAGCAGGTTATTTTTGGAGAAGTCAAATTCTGAACTCTACATGGAAATGAAAATTACCTAGAACAGCCAACACAATTTTGAAAAAGAACAAAGAGGATTAATACAATCTGACTTCCAGTCTTATAAAGTTACAGTAATCAACACAATCTGCTATTGACATAAAGATAAACAAATAGATTACTAGAACACAACAGAGAGCCCAGCATGTACAGACAAGGTATCAAGGCAGTTCAGTGGAGAAAGGACAGTCTTTTCAACAAATGGTGTTGGAACAGTTGGATATTCATATGTGAAAAAATAAACTTTGATCCATACTTCACACCATGTACAAAAACTAACTCAAAATGAATCACAGATCTAAATGTAAAACCTAAATTATAAAACTTCTAGAAGGAAACATAAGAGAACACCTATATGAGCTTGGATTAAACAAACATTTCTTAGATACAACATTTAAGTCCGCAAAGGAACACACTGATAATATGGACTTCACCAAAAGTTCAAACTTTTGTTCTTCAAACTGTTAAGACAATTAGAAGACAACCTGAAGAATGGGTGAAAATATCTGCAAATCAAATGCCTCACAGAGCACTTGTATACAGAAAACATAAAGAACTCTCACTCAATAATCAGAAAACAAATAAGCCAACTTAAAAAGTTGGCAAAAGATTTAAATAGACACTTCACTCTAAAAGCTATAGGGATAGGAAATAAGCATGCAAAAAGATGCTCAACATCATTAGTCATTAGGGATAAGCAAAGTAAAACCACAACGGAATGGCACTGCATGCATATCTATTAGAAAGGCTAAAATTTAAACAACTGGCTATTTCAAATTTGGCAAAGACATGGATATACTGAAACATTTATACACTACTGGTGGGAATGTTAAATGACAGGATCAGTTTAGAAAATAGTTTGGCAGCTTCTTAAGAAGTTAAACATATACCTACAATATCGTCCTTCTACTCTTAGGAATTTATCCAAGAGAAATGAAAGCATATGTCCATACAAAGATTTGTACATGAATATTTGGAGCAGTTTTATTTGTAACAGCTAAAAACTGGATATAACCCTAATGTCTGTCAACAGGTTAATAGATAAACAAACTGTGGTATAGCTATACAATGAAACAGCACTCACAATAAAAGGAATGAACTATTGATAAATGCTAAAACACAGATGACTCTCAAAATAATTATCAGTGAAAGAAGCCAGACAAAAAAAGAGTACCTGGTATCTACTGTTTCATTTATATATAATTTTGGAAATGCAAACTAATTCATAGTGGTTGCCTAGGGAAAGGGGGAGGCAGAGAGAGATTACAAAGTAACTTTTGGGGATGATGGATAGTTTCATTATCTTGATTGAGGTGGTGATCTCACAAGTGTATAAATGTCTAAACTTATCAGAGTATACATTTTAAATATGTGCAGTTTATTGTATGTCAATTAAACCCCAATAAAGCTGTTTGCACACAAAAAGGAAAATGACAAAATGGTGATAAAAGGGATAATTATTTGCATATTATATGCAAAGAGTCCCCATAAAATCCATTAGAAATCAATAATCCAACAGAAGGATGCAAAGAATCATTACAGGAAATTCACAAAAGAAGAATTATGGGGCCAATAAAATATTTAATCTCACTAAAAATTAGAAAGCTAATTAGAAATTAAAAATATGCAAATTAGAAAGTGATGCTTTTGGTTTTTTCCTGTTTAACTGACCCACTGTACCAAGATATTTTTTTTTCTTAAGGAACAAATTGAATAAGGGTAGACAAGGGTATATACTGAAGTAATATTTAAAATGTTGAAAAACATGCAAGAGCATAATTGTGCAACAATAGTTTAAATTATGGTGTATCAATTTAATCAAAGGGAATTCAGCCACTAAAATTATGTACAGAAGTATAATTATCACAACGGAAAACTGCTCATAGCATTAACTGGAAGAATAAATAGTTTATAGTGAGTATACAAAAGGATGAGTGCTTTTTTTTTTTTTTTACTTATCAACCTTGGTTTCACCAACCATGAGTTTGAAATAGTACATGTAAAACTTTTTAGGTCTTTGATCTTTACATTCATGCACTCTAAATGAAGGAAATAGCTCAATAATCATTGGTGCTCCTTCCCTGAAGACCTTGATGGCATTGAGTACTAGTGGATATTATTACGGGAGAAGACCTTACAATCCACCCTTTCAGTGGTGCACATTCCTCAATACCAATTACTGTTCTTTAATGGAAGTATAGCCATTTCTCTGTAGATTTTTGTGGAGTTGACTATTTTTCAGTACACATTTTGGACTTTTTTCCTAAAACAATCAGAACATTTATTTTACCCTCAAGTATTCAAAGACAGGTTAAAGAACTAAACTAGAGAAACTTCAAAGCTATAAAAGAAAAGTGCTGTATGGACTAGAATTTGGAAGTTTCAACATTAGTAGACGGGTTCAGGGATAAATAAATCAACAAATACATATCATGTTCCAAAATCCTTGCCTTACTTCCTTTTTAAAATTGATCTTTTAAACATTTGTTTTTTGCTGCTATGAATAGAAAGTAAAGCTAGGCTGACCTATTAAGGGCATTTTCTAACTCTATTTTTTCTCTGAGATCCTGTACTTGCCAACCATGATTTCACTTAAAGTTCTGAGTGAGTGAGCATACGTAGAAATGCCCAGAAGCACAGACACTGGTATAAGCAACAGTTACACAGGACATTAGGATTTTGGTATTCTTCATCTTATTCCTTTTGTCAAACTATTTTCTAAGTATTAAAATAGGATAAACATGTATTATTTTTCTTTCTTAAAAAAGGACTTTTTAAAACTGGTAAAAAATAACAAAAGGCATTGCCTACATATTTATGTTTATTTTTCCATGTATTAAGATGTCTTTCAGAAAGTAATAAAATGGCCTAAATGGATGCAGATAAAAAAATAAACCCCAATTACGGACCCTTGTTTTTGTCATCTAAAGGTGATTTTCTCTACAAAAGCCATCTGACTGAATTTTAAGGA